TAGGCGAAATAATTGAAAAGGGTAACGGCAGCAATAAAAGAATATCAATCAATAACTGAAATGATGGTGAAATATAAAAATAAAAGAAAATAAGCGATTTCTCAGCGGATTTATGGAATTAAGGGCCGAAATTGGGGATGAAGCCGGAGATAACTCTCACGCAGTCAATAAGCATTTTTACCAATTTATTAGACGCCGTGGGAATGAGTGAGGCTGGAATTCTGGGTTGCTGCTTGAGATTCCCACGCCTGCACATGCCCGTGCCTAACTTGCCAACATAGAACTCCGTCAATTCTCCACCGATTGGGACGTTTTTGATACCGTCAGAATCGTACGAATTAGCACTATTTTTAGGTATCAAATCCGTACCAAGTCATCGCGTGAATAGAAGTGGTTTTCTAATCATGGAAGCAGGTATCCAAGCTGGCTCTGCACGTGGGCGATTATCCCACCTACAGCGTCCGGAAGCACTGTTCAGGGTTAGCAGAGTGGGATCACGGCCTCAGCAACTCAAGTGGAGCGCTGTGCCCTGAACTTGACGTCTGGGGGAGATCCCTTATTTATGACTCACAATTACAGTGGACTTCAAACAAGACTTGCAGGCGGAGCGGGCCCATAGGAGGAGCACGGACTCCGTGAGCATGGACTCAGAAGGGGGGAACAGAAGGAGGGACTCAGACCAGACAGGGGGGGGTACTCTAGTTGATTTCAGACTGAGGTCCCCGAAAGTATTTACAAGGTATAAGTAGGTAAAAGAAATCATAAGATGGACCGGTTGGTCCGGTGCAGAAATGAGCAGGGACTTGTCAAACTAAACCAAGGACAAGAACCCAGGAAATGGGAGGCAAGGAATGAATAAAGTCAAAGTGGATCAAGTACCAATATTGACAGATTAAATGAATGAATTGGAAGGTGCAATAACACACGGATCAAATGCCAATATTGGCAATGAAATGGGTGAACAAAATAGGCACTCGGCAAGGAATGAATGATATGATGCCAAGTGGCAAAAGGCCAAAGGGAAAGCAGGGCCGGCACACGGCACTGACACAAGTCCGCGAAATGGGGCATGGGAATCAGCGCGGTGCTGATCAGTCCGCAGACAGAGGGTGGTCCGTCAGTGCTGTCACAAACAAGGACAGCATGATGGCCAGCAAAGGTATGGAGTGTTGACCTGACCACAGGGTGTGGAGGGCAACCAGGAGCGGCAGAGGTGCAGGGGTGCAGAGGTGGGCAGAGGTCCGGATGTGGGGAAGGTCTGGATGCAGTGCATGGCTGTGACCACATAGCAGAGGATGGGTGTGGTTCAGATGGAGACGAGGCAAGGGGAACTAGAGGGACTGGTGTCAGGGCACATACCCTGACTTAGCCTGGACCTGGACCCGCGTCCGGACCCGCTCCACTTCCCGCGCACTTCCTGCGCCGCATGCTCCGTGCGCCACATGATCCGACCCCGGATCCCACCTCATGTGACTTCCGGGTATCCCCGGAAGTTTTCACCATATTGGGCCACTGTGGGAAAGTGAGAAGTTAACCTTCGTCTCACTTTCTTACCCACAGTAGGCAAGTGTATCTTACTTGCCCTTTATCTTATACACTTTCTTACCCACAGTAGCTATGCCCTGAGATGGGCTGTGTTTACAGGCCAGACTGTGGACTGTAGAGAGGGGTCATGGGGACCCGGGGTCCATCCCCTGACAACTGGATGCCAGGAGCACCAAGGGCTTGGGAACTGGAGGTAAGGTCGGAATGCCAGCAGGGTCCAGGGTCTGATTGTTGGCCAAGTCTCACACAATAGGGCAGTGGGGCCAGACATCGGATTGAGGGCTGGTTAGATTGGGTTTCAGGTCAGCAGATTCGCCTATCGGCATTGATTCGCCACTGACGGAGCCCTGGGATTTGTCAGTTGTGACACCTCCTCACTATGTCCCCTTGGACAAGGGATGGACCCTGACACTTATCAGCTTCACAACCAGCCAAAGGCAGTTCAACTAGTTGGTATAAAAATGCAGGTATTTTACAAGAGTGATGGACTCATCAGGTGCTGCGCCCAGCAGCTGCCAAACTAGCAAGAAAGTGAGCTTCTGTGTTGCAGCAACCAAAATCTAACATCAAAGTATCACGAAATGCATCCTCATCAAAACTAGTGGTCTGCGATAGGCAAATGATGACCGCAATTTTGAATGGTTCTGGGTATGCAGTCAAACCCACACATGAGGGCATCCCCAATGAGTCGGTTACCTGCACCGACTTTGCTGGTGATTTATCACTCATCTCCCTTTGATCTATTGCAACAGTGTTCAGGTCAGTACAGGCAATCTCCAGAGCAGCAACAGGCACTAGTGCCTACAGCTCACCAGTCATCAGCAAAAAATTGTTATGCTCCTGAGTGCTCTGGAGTATCGAGAGCACTGGGAGAATCAGGAGGAGATTGGCCGGTCCAGGAACAGCCCATTTCCTCCGGAGTTGGCTAGGTACTCCAGGGCACTCCCAGGAGGGCCTGGAGCATTGCTTTGTGCACAAACATATCCAGTAAATACAATTTAAATGCTTCAAAGTGTATAGGGGTGAGAAGCTTCTGGGAGCTCCTGGAGCATTTGAAAATGAAAAGGAAAAAAAAAGAGGGAAGATCCCCCATGAATACCTCCTACCACAAGACTAACACAACAAGACACTGCTTAACATTTAGATCAAACACTATACTATATATCAAGGACACTGAGACTCACCAATACACAATCAAAATTTATGGCCTGATATATGATTAATCTGGCAACTTAATCACTTTCAGGCTGGCAGAATATGGGGGAGGGGGAAATGGGGGAAAATGAGGGGGGGAAATGAGGGGGAAATGAGGGGGAAATGAGGGGGAGAATGAGGGGAGAATGAGGGGGAGAATGAGGGGGGGAATGAGGGGGGAATGAGGGGGGGATATAGAGGGAAATGAGGAAAATTTGAAAAATAGGGACTTCTAAAAAGTTGAAAAAAATAATTAGGGAAAAAATCAAAAAAATTCAGGAACTGTAGTGCCTTTGAAGTGCTTTCAGGATATATAATTATTTGCAAAATCGAGGAAGAAATGATGGAGAAAAATGGAAAATACTTTCGGAGACCCAAGAAATAATGAGAAATTGATGGGAAAGTCTGAAAATTGAATAGGGAAGCCTTGTAGCATTGTTATTTTCTGCTGTTCTAATTTTTCCTGATTGTTCTTGGTCTCACTCCCAGCTGCTACTGGATATGGATACTCCTGGAAGCTCCTGGGAGGGTCCAGGAGCAGCTAATGGAAAATACTTTTGGAGACCCAAGAACTGAATTGATGGGAAAGTCTGAAAATTGAATAGGAAAGTGAGGGGAAGCCTTGTAGCATTGTTATTTTCTGCTGTTCTGATTTTTCCCGATTCTTTTTGGTCTCATTCCCAGCTGCTCCTCAATACTCCAGGAAGCTCCTGAAAGCTCCTGGGAGGGTCCAGGAGCAGCTGGGAGTGAGACCAAGAACAGCAGAAAATAACAATGCTTACAAGGCTTCCCCTCACTTTCCTATTCAATTTTCAGACTTTCCCATCAATTCAGTTCTCATTATTTCTCGGGTCTCCGAAAGTATTTTCCATTTTTCTCCATCATTTCTTCCTCAATTTTGCAAATAATTATATGTCCTGAAAGCACTTTAAAGGCACTATAGTTCCTGAATTTTTTTTTGATTTTTCCCTAAATTTTTTTTTTCAACTTTTTAGAGACCAAAATTTTCCTCCCACTGCTCCTGGCACATTACATACTCCTCACCACTCCCAGCTGCTCCTGAACCCCCTCCCAGGAGAACACTATTGGCTCCAGGAGTGCCCAATCTGCTGTTTTGTCTCCCACATGCTCCAGCCACTCTTGATGCTCTGGAGCATAATGGACTTTTGCTGATGGTGTTCTCAGCAATCCATGCTTTGATCATCCGACACATCTCAATCACAAAGATATGTCCAGGAACATGAAAATTGTTTTTAATTCTGGCTGTCCAAGGATTGGTTCCCAATCTAGCGTGACATCAACTTTGTGAATATCGGCTTATGAAATACTTAACTTGCCTTGGTGGGTGTAGGGTTCAATAAAGGCAGAGACAAATGATTTACTGACCTCCCGATTCCACGGTGAGACTCCTATATTGCTATAGCTACCCAGGATAAAAGCATCGAAGATTCTTTGGGTGTTCGGGCACCATTCTTCCAAGGCTTGGTCTGGACCACCGAAAAAATAAGTTGCCTGGAACTATAAGATCACCATTCACTAACCATTGAATATCATGTATGATAACTGGAAGGCGTTGGGAGTCAACTTAAAATTTAGAGCATGGGTCGCCTCAAACTCAACGGCGGAACGAGCCGAGGTTGATCTGAGCTCTTGAGCGCAACAATGACAATGCAGAGCAATCATGAAACCGAAATTCGGCAATATCTGTACAGTGCCCTGGAGAAGTACATGAATGAACACATTCTAATTGGCCATGTCACTGAGGTGGGAGTGCTCCGAGGCGTGGCAACGCGTCTAATGAGTTCCCACTTCCTCTAGCTTCTCTCTCAATGCCTTCCACTTGCGTCTTCGGGCTTCCGGAGATACCCATGACTAGACTATTTCATGTTTGCAACGTGGTGGAGATCCAGCCACCTGCTGTCGAGCAATGGACTATGGATTCTGATGATCAACGGTATCTGCGCGACCATCTAAAGTGGAGGGCCTCTTTTCAGAGTTCAAAACGGAGTCCATGTGTATAATAATAAAGTGTGATCCAGGTGCGGTGTTATCAATGGCATCTTATCCAGAATGTGAAACTGATGATAGAAGGCCCCTATCTCCTCCTTTGGTATCGAGGCAGATGGTGCGGAACATGAGGAAGGCTTGCTCCTTGAAGCCTCTCGGAGTGGCTGCCATACTGGACAATGACACTTTGATGAAGAGTTGCTAGTTACCATTTTTTCTGGATCCAAGGATTCGTCGTTCAACTCGAACACTTCATGGTCAGGAGTCGGGAAGTTGATCACGACCCAGAAGAAACTCGGTACACAGAGCCGTTTCAGACCCCATTGCCAAACATCACCCGAACTGGGATACCTGGAGGCTCGATTCCGCTTGCTGTCCGAGATTCCCTTTTCCACCCAGACTCACCTCCCACCATGGCACCTCGCCCAATCACCCCTCCTCTGTTTCTGCGGGACAGTGATCCTCTTCGAAAGCGATGTCGAGTACCTCATTCATCTCCACCGTCAGCCTCAGTCCGGGCGCTGGGTTTATCAGAAAGACCCCGAAACTTGGAATCACCTGCGCGCCAATCGCACGCCGTTTCTGCATTTTCGGAACCGAGTGGGAAGCCCGTTCCCCGCACCAAGTTAAAAGACCCTGAGACCAATCTCACAAGAGAGAACATGGCAGCTGTGGATGGGTGGAGTAACTCTTATTTTGTTTGGTGGGTATCTCATCCTGTTTCATTAGTTGCGTATGTTCCCGCCGCTGCTGACTTCGTCACCTCAGATCAACCTGTACCTTCTCTAATTGCTGACCAGAGCGCAGATGACCCCGGGAGTGATAATATCGATGGAATATTATGGGAACAATCGCCCGAGCCAGAAAGGCACTCTTTTTAACAATCATTGTTGAGTCCCGCATGGTCCGTCAAATTGCACACGGAACGATGTCTCCTTTAGTTCAATCAGATGAACTTTGCAAGAGATTGCGGCTTGAAGATACTATTGTTCCGTTTGGGAAAAATCTCAAGATATACACCAGAAGCGCAAGTAACTTCGTTGATCAGTGAGGCACTAACTCAGAAGAACGAGATATCGGTGGAACAACCTGTGAGCGATAATGACGAGGGCTTCTTCAACATATGCTATCATCCCCTCCCTCAGCTTACGAGTTTCAAGGATTTACTTGCTCTGCCTTCCATCAAAGGGCTACCTAAATCGCACGGGGTTGACAATTCAAAATCAAAAAATGTCTTCCGACTTGCCAAGGTTCAAGCACTACATATTGACCACACTCATCCCCGTTGGAACAATACAATCGTAGGTTATGCATGTCCCTCCCCAAACGGCGGTCCGGCCAAACCGAGGCACCTGCTACATCACACCCGTTAGCACCGTTGTAGGTGATGTGCGCGTCGATTAATGTCCTTAACGCCAGTATGATCGACTTCAACCCTGATCGCGGCTCTATGTCCACACATCCCGGTAAGCGCCCAAAATCTATCGATCCCACCCAGCTTTAACATCGAGTGTAAACGTCGTACTCCATTCCACAGCTCAGGGTTGCAACACACAATCCTTTCCAGCCCTGTTGGCCATCTCTGCGCTCCCCGAAAACTCCATTTCCGGTAAGTGTTCTCCCTGTTTGCTCTCAGCGTTGCAGCTAACAAAAACTTTCTAGATACCATTGAGGGCTCTTCTCTTCATCTTTAACGATGACTAGAGGTGCTTCGCACATCGCTAGTAAATCACAGTTACCGTGAAGATATCCGACTGATGAGGGCCAGCAACACTGCTGGCACTCATGGTCATTTTGGGCTACTGGCCTACCCCCTGCAGCGCCAACCTCCCGTTCTGATCCCGTGTAGTACACTCAACATTCCTACCCCCCCCCCCAATCAGCTCTTCTACCCAAACGGTGTATTACATCACGCGCGGATACCCAAACCCCTAGTACAGCATTACTCGTGCATGGGCCTGTAAGTTCCACTGCTTGTGGTTGGGTATAGCAGCAAACATTTTGCGCATCGTCTTTTAACATCAAACGGCACTAACAATCCCACTTGGTGGACATTGTCACGACCCCTACCCCAGACTCGTACCCAGTCGGAGGAGCTCCGTGGATGCGCAAAATAATAGCTTTTTTACACAATGTAAATAAACGTTCTCACACTGGTACTCGACTGCTTCCGATGCTAATCACGTTCTGTACTCAATACAAAAGATCACATGGTACGGAGTTAAACAAATATCCGATCACCTACTCCGAAACTTAGCCCGCGACACTTTGCTCCTCTGACTGGGGCAAAATGTAGGTGGCGATGCATCGGAAACACCCGACTCTCATGCTAAGCCTGAATGAGTTGTACATAGAGGTTGCGCAATGTAATTGTTAGTGTTGACACATGCAGTCATTATACCCAACCCAACCCATAGAGACTTGGAAGCACCTTGAGGGTTGTGAAATCGACAACCTGGGCATGTGCGGAAATTAACACTTCATATAATACTTCTATAGCACCCTGTGGTTGGTGCTTTGTAGTGAAGTGGTACGAGCGTGAGCTGAGGCTATGCAGCCTTTTTTGGCTGCAGGTGTTCGATTCTCACTCAGTGAACCTTTTTTTCTCCTTCTTTACTCCTTAGTGTAAATGGGAGGTTGTTACAATTATTCCTGAGACCATAAAAAAAGGTTCATTGAGTGGGAATCGAACACCCGCAGCCAAAAAAGGCTGCATAGCCTCAGCTCACGCTCGTACCGCTTCACTACAAAGCACCAACCACAGGGTGCTATAGAAGTATTATATGAAGTGTTAATTTCCGCACATGCCCAGGTTGTCGATTTCACAACCCTCAAGGTGCTTCCAAGTCTCTATGGGTTGGGTTGGGTATAATGACCGCATGTGTCAACACTAACAATTACATTGTGCAACCTCTATGTACAACTCATTCAGGCTTAGCATGAGAGTTGGGTGTTTCCGATGCATCGCCACCTACATTTTGCCCCAGTCGGAGGAGCGAAGTGTTGCAGGCTAAGTCTCGGAGTAGGTGATCGGATATTTGTTTAACTCTGTACCATGTGATCTTTTGTATTGAGTACAGAACATGACTAGCATTGGAAGCAGTCGAGTACCAGTGTGAGAACGTTTATTTACATTGTGTAAAAAAGCTATTATTTTGCGTGTCCATGGAGCTCCTCCGACTGGGTACGAGTCTGCCCCTACCCCGGATTGTGTACTGTCAATTCGATCCTTATTAGTCTCGTACTCAGGTTCGGCTTTCTGGACATCACTCATGCACCAAGCGGTGCTTACATGACGTGCAAAACGGTGTGATCAGACATGAACCTCAACCTTGTCCTTCTGTGTGAGGGCTGCTGCTGAACGTGAATGAGAGGAGGCTGAGGAGGCCAAAAGGGCCACCAAAGTGTTGAAAAGGAGGAAGAAGGAAGAGGCAGCGGTGAGGAAGGTGAGTAGTAATGGCAGTCTGTCATCCATTTGGCGGGAAAACGCTGGCTGATTTTATTATTATTTTTGATTAGTATAATCTGCTGCAATGTTGACACCGTCGACAAGTGATTGGCCCCCTGCATGCAGGCGGTGCCTTACTTGCAAACTCGAGTGCCGACCAGGTGGGGAAGGATCAGGCAAGTCGTCGTGTGTGGCATGTCATGCCACCAAGGTACACTGCGACTGAGTACTACAACATGCCGAGGTCGCATTGACCTATCGTCCTGAGAAGCGTGTGAGGGTGGAGGAAGAGGTGGAGGAGGATACGCTGCAGAAGGTGAGTGTCTGCGGTTTTGATGAGGGATGCCATGGGGTGGCTTGCTGAGATCAGCGAGCAGCTCCGAGTGCATAACACCCTGCTGAGCAGCACTTTGGCCGGCAGGTTGATGAAGGGGTCCAGTGATTCGGCCATTGTCGAGGCAGTTATAGGGGGGGTTTGGGGAAGGATCTGGAGGATGAGTTGGAGAATTGGATTGTGGGTTGGGGGTCTCAGTGTAGCTCATGCTTCACCCAGCACTACCAACCCCTCATCCATTCAATCTTAACTACCCTCTTGTGTGTGAGCAAATGCGACAAGAATAGCGTGGCCTTGATTTGAAGCGAGCCGGTAAATACAGAGATAAGCAAACAGGAGGCAATGGGCCAGGTGGAGGGTAACAATGAAGACGAGTGAGAATAACAACGGGGATTCAGACAGGAGGGAAGAAGTCAAGTTATAAAACAAAGGAATCAGCCAAAAGGAAGGGCCACCGTAAACACCCGGGATCCAACTTGCAAAGGAAAACCGAGGCTATACTGCCTTAACCAATGCAAAACCGGACATTCAACGGCAACCTAACCAGAACTGAAAAGAGAATTAGTTAAATAATAAACGACGAAGTCATAGAAAAAATCTAGCATGCGCGGATGCAAGAAAGTGTGTTTTATAGCATGCAGCGGATGCAAGAATGTAGTGGCTGAGAAGCCTAAGCGTACTGCGGATGCAAAAGAGAAGGCACGGAGGCTGAAGCGTACCGCGGACGCGCATCAAGAAGAAAAAGATAAATTGACGTACCGATCATGCAGCAGAAATAAGAACCAGACGTGCAAAATCAAGAAAAAGTAAACTGAACATCACGGATGATCAGCCTAGAGGCATCAGGCATTGAGCAATGTGTACAGAAGATGAGGTGTAGCCAAGGGCACGGTGGATACCCAAGAAAACGACTGAGGCACTGAGGCCGGTGCACACAAGTCCTATTTAATCTCGTTCCTCCATTAAATTTAAAGTTGTACATTGTTCTTCTCTTTCTTTTTTTTTGATTACCAAATGACATCCCCCCCCATCTGTACCGTGCATCCTGAGTGAATTTGAGAATAAGGTGCAAAGGTGGAAGGTGTCCCTAACTGGCTCTAAGGGAGCAATATGGTGGAAAGTAAACAAGGGTTGTATCCAATGGAGCCTCAAGCATATGACCTTGGAAGTGATCATGAATGCTGAGATGAACAAACAGTGTCCAGAAGATCCACAAGAGGTGGGGAAATGAGCCTTGAGAGTCGTAATAGGAAGAGTGGAATCATGGGGAATTCAGGGGTGTCAAGTGAGGTTGGTGGATAACCAGTGGTTCCAGGAATTCCGGAGTGATGATACTAGGAGGGGTCCAAATGTTCCCATTCATCAAAATACTCTGAGTGTGTGAACTTTTGCTGGGGATCTGCAAGAGTCCCAGTCACATACTGATTCAAAGCAAATTTAATCTAAAATTGCACACATAGAGTCAGAAACCCGTGAAGTATCACCAACCAAAACTTACCATTGTCAGTGCATATGCGAATGTTGCAAGGCTAAGACATTGCGATTCTTCAACTCGGTATGGGCCACTGGAAAACTGTGAGGTCTCAGTGGGGTTGCTCAGCACATGAGGCTGTAAGTGATACAATGATGTGTATTTTACAGTGTGTGTAAGTGGTTAACAGATGTTCCCGCTTACCCATGTGACTTTATGTACATCATGATTACATATGGCTTGGGGTTCGGGGCTATTGCCCTGACATTCTCCCCCTTTGTGTTGCATGTGTGACGCATACATGGTTAAAGAGGAAGAAAAAAAAGGAAAGAAAAGAGGAAATTACATTGAATTTGAAATTATCCCTGAGTGTTTTGTTATCACCACTTTAAAGTGGGTGATTTGTACATGTCAGCGAGAGAAATTGAAGGAGTGAATGAGTGTGAGGCTGTCACTTTGAAGTGAATGGCAATACATGGGTATCGTGAAAGGGAAAAGTAATAAAAGAAGAAGAAAGTTTCGAAAATAGATTTCAACCCAAAGATTATACATCTTTGGTATTCCTCACTTGTTCTGTGAGGATTCATGTGTAAATGGTGTTTACACATGAGCGGTGGTGGATGTGGGTTAGATGGAGTAGAAGTTTCTGCAATTGTTACTTGCAGTTCCTTGCATACAATATTGTGTGCAGGGCCTCAAGTTGGGGGAAGGTGTTTTCATGGGCACCTCAGTGGCATATTACCATGTGTCAGGGCCCAGCCTCGGACTCGGAGGCTCCCTGACCTCAACCCCCATCTAACCTGTCCTCACACTATGTAGGGCATGAGATGTATAGTAAAAAGGAAAGATAATATATACACTTGCCTATGCAGGGTGTGAGATGAGAAGAAGGGTAAAGGTCTCATCTCCCCGCATGGTTGCTATATAAAGGAATGGGTCACATGCCCACAACTATACAGCTCCTAGAGTTGTGCAGTGTGACCCGGAGGGAACATCCAGGTGGCAGTGCCCAGTAAGCGTGGGAACATTCTGGGCGAGTTGCTCACCCAGAACTGTGGCTGTGACCCGTGGGAACATTCTGGGCGAGCTGCTCGCTCAGAAAGTTCCCACGCTATCCCGTGCGCGCGCATGTACACAATGCACAAAGGCAACAACAAGGCAACAGTCAAAGAATAAAAGGGGGTAAAGTAGGTGGGGAGTCCGGGGCACCCTAAGGCAGGGTGCTGAACCCTGACACCATGTCACTTTCCCTTTTTTCGAGGGTAGAGTTATTGCCCTGGAGGAGGGTTTTCCACTGGTTTGTTCATCTGGACATCTGATTGCTGCATCAGATGCGATGATGTAGCCTGGGCTATGGTGTCGAGCTGTGGACTCAATGAGGTGGGTGCTTCCTGGGTGGGAGCAGGTTGTTGTGTTCCTGAGTCACTTGGCTCAGGTGTAGAATACAGTAAGTTTACCGTTCTTCCCATGGGGAAGGATGGTCGCTGGCTTGTTTGTCCAGCACGGAGACTTGCGTCTCTCTCTCAGTACTTGGAAGCTTTCACTTCCTGCCCTGCAGCTTTTGTGGCACGTTCCTCAGGAGTCCTGAGTGGTTTGAACTGGGACTTCACATAAGCAGCTTTGCCTAGACTTTCCCAGGAGATTTGTCCCCTGTTCTCTGGGGAATTGTAATCCTCCACAAGTTTTGCAATACTCGGGAGTTCCAAGAAATATTTCTTGGTTTCCTTCACTTTTTTGCAAAGGATTTTGTGTACCTTGCCGCTTTTAAAGGTGGCTTCAGCCTGTTCCTACCATTGTACAAATGCTTTTCCACTCATGCTTGTCCACCAAGCATATGTGGCATCATGCGCCACTTCTGACCCCACTGTTCTCCTCATGGGGAAGTTGGGGTCGATTGTTATGTCAATGGGAGCTTTGACTTTGCCAAACTTGTTGAGTTCGGTGGTCTCTGTCAGAGACCAGGTTGAGACGAGGGAAAGTCTCCATGGCGGAGGGCTTCGGCCTCAGCGACTTATGCCAGGAGCGCTGTGCCAAGTAACACGTCCGTGCCCTAACTTACTAACTGGCAACCAGAACTGAAGGGGGGTAAACTCTAGTCGATTTTATTACTGAAGTGTAACCTATGTACAAGTTGGATATATATATAGTTACAGCAAAGACGGGTCCGCAAATGGCAGAGCCAAGCAGAGCAGAACTAACGGGGTTAAACATTAGCCGACTGAATATTACCGACGAGTCAGGTTACAGGGTTAACGGAAAGGCAGGCGATAACCCAGAAATGGAAAGGAGGGATAGGCCCGAAGGTGGGCTCTGCAGGGCAGGCGAGTGTATTGCCCAGTGGAGGCGGGAGTGCGCTAGTGGATGTCAGAGCTGTCCGGAAGTCTTCGGGGCTCCATACTTAGGGAGGCATAGGTAATAAATTGAAAGGAGGGGGTGGTGACCATTGAGGGGTACCGAGGGGATTGTGGAATACGGGAGCTCTGAGGTTAGTGAAGAAGGAGCGGAGGTAGACCGGAGGGATCGGAGGGACCGGGAGTCGTTGGCTGGAATACAGTGTCTGTGAGAATAAAAGCAAGTGGATATCCTCACTTGCTTAAATCCTCCTATGCACCTGCCTTTTCTATTCAATCCTACTATGACAATAGTGCAAGTGGACATCTTCACTTGCTAGCCATGAGAAAAAAAGCAAGTGGACATTGTCACTTGCTAGCCATGAGAAAAAAAGCAAGTGAACATCTTCACTTGCTGCCATGAGAAAAAAAGCAAGTGGACATTGTCACTTGCTGCCATGAGAAAAAAGCAAGTGGACATCTCCACTTGCCTGCCATTGTAACTGGGCAAAAGAGCTGCCCAGGCAAGAGAGTAGGGACCTGGGGGTAGTGTCTGAGTCGGGTTGGAAGATGGGAAAGGATGGGTGGCAACAGTGCCGATACTGTGCCGTGGTCTGGGTGCTAGAAAATAATCAATAAAATCTCACTAATCATGTACTCACTCCTGGTCCTTCTTGGACAGTCGTCAGGAGGCTCTTTAACGTATGGAGGGATCGCTCAACACCACATTCTTTGTAGCACAGAAGAGGGGTCCAACCATGTAAATACAAGATAAACTGGGCATATTTATAGAAAAAAAGGGAAATCAGAACAAAAAATAAGAGAAATAGGCGATAGATGGTGGCAATGGGAACAGGAAGAATGTTAGCAGCTTGGATAAAGAACAATAAGGCAAAAGAAGTGGACACAAGGTGACAATGAAATTAATAAATGAACCCATGACATCAATATCAACCATTAATCTCGCTTCTCCACCGCGTATCTGTCGTCCTAACTCCCGTCCTGTTATTCCATCCTCTTCTCCTGATCCGTCGCTGTCCATCGAGCTCAAAATCATGTGAATTGGTAGAGATTTGGGGGAGATATGGGGAAAATGGTTGATAACCATGGATTTTGGGGAAGTGGCAATATGAGTCTTGAGAAAAAAGCATGGAAAAAATTGGAAAAAAAAAGTTAAAATGTGTTGTGGGTGTTGGGATTGTGTTGTATGCTTGAGGGTGCTCGTTGGAGCCTCGAAAAATGTGTTTCTGGCCTTGTTTGTGTGGTACTTGCTGTGCCCTCCTACACTGTGAGAAAAAAAGCAAGTGGACATCCTCACTTGCTAGCGGTGAGAAAAAAATCCTACTATGCCATTCAATCCTACTATGATGGTAGTCGAGCCACTTGACTTTCAGAACCAATTCAGTCCTTTCCATTCAATCCTACTATGCCGTGGGAATTTTAAAATCAATTCAGATCATAGTAGACCTACTATGATGGTAGTAGATCCCTTGCACTCTTGACATTGCAATGCTAAATACATGTACCCATTTGCACCAATTCAGCGGCACTGTTGCCTTGGATGATATTCAACCATAAGACTATCATATAAGTTGTTACAGTGCAATGTACACCTAAACTAACTAATATATTGTCATTGTGGCCTTGATGATTGCTTAAGTAATCTCACAGTGCCAAGGGAATAATTTGCATTCCTAATTGCTTCACCCTGGAACTATGCTTCCAGAGTCGGGTTTGGAATCAAGAAGACCATTTGACTCATTTCAGGTGCCATCAGACATTCAGATATTGCATGAAGTGAGTTGTTTTTTTTTCTCTGCTGTGCAGCTGTGTTGACAGAAAATTGTGAAAGGAGCTCACTGAAAAGGATTCAACAGTTGAAGGCCCAAGTAGTTAACATTTCAAGGACAAAAGGCATTCCCAGCAAAACACCAAAGCGCCAGTCATGAAGTCCAAAAACAAAAGGGGAACTGGATGCCTGTGCTTTGACACACCTCTATTCCCTTACTGTTAACCCATTCCTCACAGCACACCTATTGTTGATGACCATGAGTGCTGACTCTTGTTGGGATGTTGAAAGATGGTGGGACAATGCTTTCATGCAAGAAGGCCATTTACACCAGTTTCTTGGATGGTGGAGAATGCCAGAAACTATCAAGACCAACATTGATGAGCTGGCAATCCACCAATCAGTGTGTAGTTTTCCTTGGATGGAGGAACTAACAGACTTGATGAAGATCCACCAAGCAGCTGGAGGAATGCAATGGGCCATCAGATTCCAGATGAGTAGCCCCAAAAAAATTGCATTGGTTTTCCTGTTCTGGCGCCCCGATGCCAACTGTAAACTGCACTCCTGCAAGGGGGCAGTGGAGTGCCTGATGGACATAGAAGATATCCCATCAACCCTCTCCTCCATATGTGAGAGGATGAACCAAGGCACTGGATGTTCCCGTCTCTTTACATCCTTTGTGTAAGTCAGTTTATGTGACTTCATCTCACCAAGGGCTAACAATTACTCAATTACAGAGTCTTGCTGTGATCCTCTTTGCTGGAAAAGTTGCAGAGGTGGATGATGAAAAAAATGTTATCAGGTCATGTTGGGATGTCAGTGCAGCAAACTGTACTGAAAAACTCTACAACATCAGGGAAGTTACTCCTGGACTTATTGCTCTTGCTGCCATTTTGGTGAGTATTTTATCTGATAATTTCCTATTGTTGCTAATGCACAACACTGTCAAAGGCCTGGAGACTTTTGCTACCTCCTGAAGATCGGCATCAAGATGAAGACTGATTTCACTTCTGGAGGAAATGTATTTTCACAGCCACAGATGCAGAGAAAAATACCCAGAGGGGATACCAAGGCCCTTCCATGGGACAATGTCTCAACTGAATGAATGGCTATTTGGGCAGGCTGCCAGACCACGCAGGAATGCGTTGGAACATACACCAGTGTCGCAAGTGGACCTAGGCACTGAATCTGACCTTTCAGCAGAACAGGAGTTCTTCAAGGAATTCAAGGTGGTTGTAACGACTAAGTTAAATGTTGATGTGAGTCTATTATACTGTGCCCCTTAGTCACTATGACAAGACAGACTGAATCATCAACAGGGTGGAACTCTAAGTCCAGAAATGGTTCCCCATGTGCAACATCAAGTCAAGGAGCAATTTTCCAATGACAGCCATGCCACAGTGGCCACCAAGATCACAGCTACATTCCCAGCTGCAGAACCACCTATAGGCCCTGCTGCAACCGCTGCAGTGCTAACCCAGTGACAAACATGGAAAGTGTGCTGCCAAGTGGTGTGTTGTTGGTTCCACAGGCCCCACAGAAGAGACAGTGCAGAGCACAGAAGAGCCAGGCCAAGGGGCCTGTTCTCAAGAGCTGATGTGTCAGTGGCCTCATGGAAGAAGCTGATATTCCCACTCCTGAGATTCCCTCAGCTTCACCTGCTCAGGGAAACGAGTCCAAAAATGGCAGAGTGGAAGGACATGCCAATTGAAGCCATAGTATTTATTAATTGTAGCTAAGCACTTCAGTAGTCAAAAGATATCAAGCTGACAGAGCACCCTTGCAATTATCCCAACATACCACTGCAGCGAGCCCATTGACGCCGAGGTTGCTGATCTGGAACCAATTCATTTCTGCACTTATATAATTGACAGAACAGGCATTGCCATTGCCATTCTTAGGATCAAGTGAGGCAGTGCATGAGGGAAGAGGATCAATGTCATATCCGTGCATACCCGACCCCGACCCCGACCCGACTTCCGGACCTCCACCCTCTTCACCTCCAGAGTCATAACCTACCGCTGCCGTTCCGATACTCACCTTCGGTCTTGGCAACACACCTCCCCTTACCTCTCCGACCCTATCTCCGTCCGCTCCGATACTCATCTCGGACCGAACACCGCCCCACTCGCCACCCTCCTACTACTCTGCTCCCCCTTCACAACACCTCCACCCTCCCGTCATCCCCCGTCCGCTCCGATACTCACCTTTGGACCTGACTACTCTCCTTTCCGCCACTCCTTCTTCCCTTACCTGTCCCCTCTCTCCTCCCTCCGTTACTCCTCCGCCACCCTTCCGCCAAGTTATGACCGTCCACCGCTGTTCCGTACTTCGCGACCGTCCACCGCTGTTCCGTACTTCGCACTCGGACACCGCTCGTACCTTACTCCGAGCTTCCGTCATAGTCCCTACCTCGGACTTTGACTCCACCTCGGTCTTAGTCCATTGCATTGGTGACCTCATACTACGTGAACACCATTGCCAATATCCCTCGGACTTTCAACCCCGCCTCCGTAACCTCCGAACCTCCGCAACCCCCGAGCTTCGCGGATCGCCTTCGGCACTCTCGCCGCTTGTAATGTATTCCTCGCGTTTTCCCCTCATCCCTATTTGGACTACTGCTTCTTCCTATTCTAGCCAGTTAGTCATCATCCCCACTTCCCCTCATCCTCCTGCCCCTCTGGGCCTCGCCCTCCCTACCTTTTGGACGTATCACAGGTCCTGCCTTATGACCTTCGGTACCGCTCCGCTCCCTCTACCCTTTGTTCCCGTTCGGACGTCTTCGTTCCGATTTGGTCACCCTTTGTTCTCCTTGTGCTTTTGCCCCTTCCATTATATATATCGGCGCTTGTACATACTCGTCTTGGTTTCAGTCCGAAATCGACCTGAAATGCCCCCTAGAGACTTCCTGCTCACCTACTGTAAAATTAAGGACCAAATGGACAAACAGCAATGGCACAGCGCTCCGCTTGAGTCGCTGAGGCCAAGGTCCCTCCACGCTAAGTCTCCGATTCCACTCCGGAGTCGTCCGTTTCCGCCCATTCTAACAATCAACAGCATCTCTGGAATGCTATAAAGAGATCAAGAGAGCCAATTTCCCATCAGGAACCCACAGAACTAGTTCAAGTAAGATATTGCTGAAAGGATTTAACAACTTTGGGTGTCCCCAGGATCATTCAGAATCTACAGTCACTGTGGAGAACATGGATGCCGGCACATCTGAACCATCCATGCCTGCACTTGGGCCACATCACAGTATGTGCCCTGTCTCTTTGATGTCCTTATTCATTTTTTTCCCCTTCAGATACTTCTCCTGCTGATCCTGACCTCAAGATTTTTGTTCGACCCCATCCTAAAACTCAAATGCCTGTTTTATTCTCATCTGCTCCAACACCCGTTACATCTGACATTGAACCATACCGTCCATTCTCCACCAAAGAAGACTTTGAGTTTGCAGACATCTGTGTTAGGAACAATGTAAAGAATGAGGTAATCGACTCCCTCCTTCAGCAACATGCAAGGATCCCAACATCACCAATAACGCTGAAAAACCATCAAGAATTATTCCAAATTCTAGACCGAGCACCAAATGCCCCAATGTGTCAGAGATCTGGATTATTGTCGGAGTGAGGAATATTGTCAGAGTCGGGCAGACTGTCAGAAGACAGACTGAAGACGGAATGGGTTTCTGTCTGAGTCGGGGTCGGAGATTGTGGCAGAGGTCTGTTGGAGCACGTGTGCGGATATGCGGGCGGAAATATGCGGCGCGTCCAGAAGTGCTGTTCAAGGTTAGCAGAGTGGGATCGTGGCCTCAGCGACTCAGGTGGAGCGCTGTGCCCTGAGCTTGACGTTTGGGGGAGATCCCATATTTACAGACTGACACTTACAGCGGACTTCAAACAAGACTTGCGGGCGGAGCGGACCTATAGGAGGAGCGTGGACTCCACGAGCACGGACTCAGAGGGGGGAAGCCCCCTGTGCAGAAGGAGAGACTCAGACCAGACAGGGGGGTACTCTAGTTGATTTCAGACTGAGGTCCCCAAAAGTATTTACAAGGTAAATAAATAGGCAAGAGGGAATATAGAAAAGCCGGTCAGTCCGGCGCGGTCCGGCGTGGAGATAAGCGGGGATTGTCAAACTAAATAAGGACAAGAGCCCGGGAACTGAAAACGAGGAACAGATCAATAAACAATAAGTGGCAAGGGTTATTGATGAATAACTGAATGAGATCAATAACCTAGTGCCAATAAGGAGGGGATCAAATGCCGATATTGGCAGGGAAGCAAACAATAAATGGCACTCGGCAAGGAATGAATGATAAGCTGCCAAGTGACAAATGGCCAGAGGAAAAGCGGAGGTCAGCGCGCGGCGCCGATACAAGTCCGCAAATAAGCGGGGTCGGTGCGGTGCCGACACAAGTCCGCAAACAGAGGTTGATCTGCCAGCACTGTCACACAAGGACAGCATGAAGGCCAACAGAGGTACAGAGGGGAGTGGGAGTGTTGACCTGACCAGAGGTGTCAAGGGCAACCAGAGGTGGCCAGAAGGTGCAGAGATGGGCAGAGGGTGTGGAGTGGGCAGAGGGTGCGGAATGCACGGAAGCGGGGCATGGCTGTGACCACATAGCGGGAAGCGATGAGTGTGGTTCGGATGGAGACAAGGCAGGCATGACTGAATGCCGGGAGCGCCAAGGGCTCAGGAACTGGAGGTAAGGTCGGAATACCGGCAGGGTCTAGGTTCTGATTATTGGTCAAGTCTCACGCAGTAAGGCAGGGGGCCAGACATGGGGTTGGGGGCTGGTTAGGATGGGTTTCGGGTCGGCGGATTCGCCTATTGGCATTGATTCGCCGCTGACAGAGCCTCGGGATTTGTCGGTCATGACACAATGGTGGTAAGTGCAATGCTAGTACAATTATTGGTAGTTGTAGCTAATGCCTCATCAAGTTTGGGATGGTCACCATCGAACATCAACTGCAAACCCTCTACAGAAAAGTCAAAGTGTTCCACAAATCAATCCTTGACTGGGTTGTGGAGTTGCTGCAAGACCGCTTCATATGTCCACTGGTTCATTGGCACCCAGAGCAGCATTACTTCAGGCGTCCAGATGGCTTGTGGGTATGGCACTTTGGGGAGCCATGGACAGGAGATGACTTTTGGGCTGCCTGGTGTCAGGGACAGCTCCGAAAGCGGTGAGGTCCCGGGGTGCGGGACTTGGGGGGACGGATAGCGGCTATGCGTAGCGGCGATCCCGTCGCGGGGTGAGCGTCCCCGACCACTTAGTCTGAAGTGGAAATGTGAGTTATCATTAAAAGGGAAGGCTACACTACTTGCCTGAAGTGGAAATGTGAGAAGAAGGCTACTTCTCCGGTTCCCACTCCAGGTGTTATTATATACAAGCGGGAATGGTCACGTGGGGTGCGCCATGTCACCCTTGCACACAGCCATGGCTCTCCGGGTGCTTCTGCGGAAGATCCCAAGAGGGCCCACTGTGGGTGCAAGGCGGGTGCAGCGGCGGTGGCAGTGGTATAGGGATGTAAGATACAGGAGGGGAGATGGGCGTGTGCGCCGGTGATACATTGAGCAGGGGGAAAGGTGGTCCATGTAAGAGAAAGAGGGAAAGAAAGAAAGGAGGAAAGGGGAACAGGAGAAAGGAAGAGGGAAAGGAAGGAGAGGCGGTGCGGAGCGGGGATTGGGCGGGGCATGTCGGGGCATGCCCTGACACCTGGGTATTTTTTTCCCCTAGTTTATTCTAGCCAGCTAACCTGTTCTGATAGGATGCTATCCTTGAAAGTACAAATGGAATCAACAACTGTCCACTTGGCATATATATCTATGCAGACAAATCAAAACTCTCCTCCTTTGGCTCTGTCAATGGTTACCCAGTTATTGCATGACTAGCAAATCTCCCTCGATCTACAAGAAACACTCGAGGAGTTGGTGGTGGATGCTTGGTTGGGTGGCTGCCAGATGTATGCACACTTAAACCATTTTTCCTCTAATTTTTCTCTAATCAAAGCTCAATAATTCTAATGAGATTCATGAAAATGGTGTGGAAAGCTGTGACAGACATTGGGCTGAGTTCCAGGCACAGATTTATCAACAGGTCATGGCTGAAATACTCCAATCACTGTGTCGACCAGGTGCATATGGGAAAAATGTAGTGTGTGCAGATGGGATAACGAGACGGATTTTCCCCTTTGTCTTTGGACTAATTGCAGACAACCAAGAAATGTGAGTTATACTATCTTGTTAATAGTCCTGCCAGTTTAGCTATTACAGATGGAGTATGTTAGCAATGCAGGGCAGTCAATCGATGATGCCATGTCCTGTCTGTCTTATACCCAGGGATAGGTTAGACCGGCTTGATCTGGTCTTTGAGAGATGCTCGAAGGTTCAAACACGCAACATTATTAATTCAGCTGCAACTATGGCAAGTAGGGGGGGTGCAGAGGAACTTCTGAAGTCACAGGGACTCAGATCACATGAGGTAAGGTCTGTACTCTCAGAATCATAATTGTTGGCTCAACTCATGGGCCAAAGAGTGCTTTTTCAGCTCTACCCAACTGTGACCCCCATTGGTCTGTTACATTCGATGTTTTGCATACATGGCTTGAGGGCATCTGGGGGGACCATATGTTTGCAATGATCAGAGGTGTTGTCCCTCTCCTTGGAAGGGACATTGTTGGGCAGTTTGAAATGATGCAAGTTTAAATTACCCCCAAATTCATTCCATCTCTCAATCTTCTCTATTAGGTTATCCTCACTTCCGTGATGGAAGGGCCTCAATTCATTCCCCTCAGGCATCCTTAGCCAGAGTTTCAATGATGGAACTGCAAAGGACCATATTCTCCCAGTAAGGAATTAGTTTCTATATTGCATTTATGTAGTATTTGCTCATCAGAATCATAGGTCATCTTGCATGCAATGCATGCGTTGAATCCTGATCTACTCAACCTAATATGTTGTGTACGAAACATGGCGGTAATAAATATCTTATTCCAATGTGAGATTCTAGACAACGATAGGATTGCACTTGGACAAGCAACACTCCAAGAGCTTCAGCAATTGACTGAGGTGTGATTCACTCCATTGCACTAATTACTGATCCTAAATTTTCCAAAAAGAGAGAACTTCTGCCCATGGCACTTATTGTTCAATCTGAGGATCTCCAAGAGAAGATGGGAAGCAAATGGGCAGTCGATGGACAGAAATCCTGGTCATTCCCCAAATGCAGCATAGTTTCTTGTCATTCAAAGCCAAAGGAGTGCCTGCAAATTCAAGCACCAAACCAAACAAAAGGGAGCACAAATTTTTTCACAATAATTTTCAGGTGGGCAACTTCAAGAATACTGCTGAGCAAGTTCGTACATTCCATTTAAACTGTGCTGGCAATAACATTTGAAATAGGTTACCACCCAAACACAGCGAGTCCAAATCCTGGACCTTATCCATCAAGACATCATGCCACTAGCGCTGGTGACTCATCCACACCCGATGTACTCAGCAGCTCCACAGACAAACCACACACCCCCAATACCAATCAGCACAGAGTTTCAAAGGACACTAAGTGCTTGATCTCATTCATTGAACAATCCCACCTGGGTGAACCTAGCTATCTTGGTTTGACTCTGAAGTTCCGAAATTTCCTTCTGTCAAAAACCTGGATTGTAGGGGAAAATGCGTGAGTCCGAATGCAGGCAGGGCTCAACTAGAGGGGGATCCGAGAGCTCCAGTAGTGGACCGAAGCTTCTCCAGGAAGCCCGGTTCTGCTGGATGGTACAAGAGGCTCTAAGGAGGATGTGGCCTCAGCGACTCGGAGGGAGCGCTGTGCCTCTGTTATGTCTCAGTTAGTCCTTGTATTTCTTATGTCTGAGGTATCTTGTAGAAAGGGAATGGGATTCACTCAGAGGGACTTTGGGTAGCATTTTTAGTCGAGATTAGAACTGAGGAACTACAGGTTCTAATCTATGGGTATTTATAAGGGGGAATGGAAAGGACTTAGTCAAAGTCCGAATGATAATAGAAAAACACCGAAAGGTGCCGAATGATATCTTTAACAGGGAACCGAGGTGTCAGATCAAGGAGGGTGGAGTAAGAGGCCGGAAAATGAATAGGAACGAGAAATGGGTAAGGGGGGTTAGCTGACTGAATGGTAAGAAGAAGATAGTTGTGCTAAGAATGGAAGGTGACTAATAAGTGATGACGTTGTAACAGGTCTATCACCACTAGACTCGAGACAGAAGAGAGGGGGAGGGTTGGAGTGGTCGCTTGCACAGGTTTGTTTGACTGGGAGTGGATTCCGCTACTCCTCACTGTCTAGCTAACTATACAGCTGGTCATGGTATCATGGAAGAGTCCGAAAATGACAAATATGCAGGAGAGAACATTGGCTAAGGGTGGTAGAATCGCGGGATTTGGCTTGTTTATGGTACACCAGCAAATCCCCGTTACAACGTGAGTGAGGTCACCGAAGGATGCGGGTAGCTCCGAAAGCGGAGTTGCATATCCAAAGGATGTTGGGTGACTCCAATAAATGAAATGGGTGGAGAAATGGTTTAAGGGTATGTCACAGGATGTCGGAGGTCCGTCTGGATATTGGAGCAAATCTGGAGTCTCCGAATGTTCTGACTCGGGACCAAGCTTCCAGGATGGGAGTGGCCAAGGTTCGGTGTGCCGCAACCAGACCGGAGCTGAGACAGTCAGGAGGGAAGGTGACTTGGGGAGTGAGGAGGCATGGTGTAGGGGATGGTGAAGTTGTTAGGAAGGTGTGGTGTAGTGGGAGTGTGCGGGGTCGGGATTCCGGGATATGACACCTTCATACCAATTATGGACTACATAACATTGATGGATCTGAGGTGAATTGGGTATGTTGACTCATTGCAGTGCACATCAGATGAGCATCATTATCCTGGCTTCTCATTGTCTCACTTGAGGGGATTCTACGGCACTACTACAAGATCAATATCAATCTTTCGATGATGGAAGTTGGGGTGAAGAATTTGTATGGACAAACAAGATCTTCCATGGGTATCATAGAGATGATGCCATAATGATGCAGGATGTATCTGGGGGTATGACCTTTGCTCGAGTCCATGCACTACTTGAAATAGCTGTGGGACCCTCTCAGCATCTCATCGCGTTGGTGTCGGACTGTCAGGGACAGCTCCGAAAGCGGCAAGGTCCCAGCGCAAGGGACTCGATGGGACAGATGTCGGCTATGTGTAGCGGCGGTCCCATTGCGGGGTGAGCGTCCCCAACCACTTAGTCTGAAGTGGGAAGTTGTGATTATCATTAAAAGGGAAAAGCTATGGTACTTACCTGAAGTGGGAAGTTGAGAAGAAGGCTGCTTCTTCTGTTCCCACCCCAGGCACTATTATATACATGCGGCCAGGGTCACGTGGAGGAAGCCACATCATCTCCGCACACAGCCGCACCTCCCTGGGTGTCTCCGCGGGAGATCCTGGAGGTGGCCGCTCAGTAGGCGGGAGTGTGCGTGGCGTGTGTGGTGATCAGGGGGGTGGGGTCAGGTATGTAGTAGTACATGGAGAAAGGGAAATCGACTGTAGAATAGAAATAGAAATAGAGATAGAGAGCAGGGGGAAAATGGGGGAGGGGAGATGGGGAGTGATAACAGGGTAGTGCGGTACGGCGCGGGGTGTGGCGCGGGGTCAGGTGGGTGTGCCCTGACACGTCCACATGGCTTCACTCTCTGAGTATACAGCACAAGACCAAGCTACTGGATTCACACTGTTCTGACTTGATAACACCCAAAATTCGCATTTTGTGCCAGTGATGGACTTCACTCAGTGGGCATTTTTGGCCCCTACATCTGACCCACAGTGGGCTTTTCACTATTTACTTAATGATGTCATTGATACAGACATGTTTTTCCACTTGAACAGCTGGTATCCGCCAGCATGTAGTATTTTGGGTCCCTCTGACAACTAATTTGCCTGAGTCAGAACACCATAATGTACAATATCCACATCTCCAGCCCCTGGCATTGGCCCATGGTGTGATTGACCATCTTGGTATGGAAATTCGACATTACAATGTGTCTAGGTATTTATGATTCAAATCTTGCATCAAGTGTTGGAATGGACCAATAAAGCATTGAAACACATTGAGAGCCTCTTAACACATTAAAACAAAATTCCAGGTTTTCCAACACTGACATTGCAAGAGGGCTAGCAGCTCTCTATGCTGACTAAGCTCATGGGGTCAAACTCTCCAAAACTCCTACTTTCTCTCTAGACTTTGCTTAACTCTCAATCCTTAACTCCGTCATGGGTTCTCCAGGATTTCTGCAAGGTCTGGGCTCAACTAATCTACTACCCACTCATTGTGGGCTAGACAGTTGCCCTTATTCCTACTGTTGGATTCCTAGCACTCACTCCAACTCTGGCATGTCCTAGCACCTTAGAGAAAATTGGGGGAGGGGAGAACTTCTTTTCAAAATCCGGTATGTACAGGATTATACCTAATAATTATTTTTAAGAAGAATAGATGGGGAATATTGGTGCCATACCGCATCTGCATACCTTATTAGGCAAAATAATAAAAAAGGGTAACAGTAACAATGAAAGAATATCAATCAATAACTAAAATGATGGTGAAATATAAAAATATAAGAAAATAAGCGATTTCTCAACAGATTTACGGAATTAAGAGCCAAAATTGGAAATGAAGCAGGAGATAACTCTCACACAGCCGATAAGCATTTTTACCAATTTATTAGATGCCGTGGGAACGAGTGAGGCAGGAATTCTGGGTTGCTGCTTGAGATTCCCACGCCCACACATGCCTGTGCCTAACTTGCCCAACATAGAACTCCATCAATCCTCCACTGATTGGGACATTCTTGATATTGTTGGAATCATAGGAATTAGCCCTATTTTTGGATACCAAATCTGTACTGAGTTGTTGCATGAATGGAAGTAGATTTCTGAATGTTGGAAGCGGGTATCTGAGCAGGCTCTGTGTGTGGGCGATTATCCTGCCTACAACATGGCACCTTCACATGACCCATTCCCACTTGTATATAAACTGAGCCGAAGCAGAACCGAAGAAGTAACCTTCCTCTCATTCCTGCTTCAGCCTAAGAAGTCTTCCCACTACTCCGCTGCCACCCAGGCTGCTACCCCCACCTCTCCTGCACTGTCCCTGACACAGGCTTGCTGATGGGGGTGGATGGGGAAGTGGTGTCCATGGAGGTTTTCAGATTGGTTTCATGGTCAAATCTTACCCCATTGGCCTCATTCTTGCTTTAATTGATGCTGTCATATCCGTGCATACCCGATCCTGACCCGACTCCCAGACCTCCTCCTTCACCACCTCTGGAGTCCTACCCTACCACTGTCTGTTCCGATATTCACCTTCGGTCCTGACACCACACCCCCTCTCACTCCTCATGCCACCTCCACTCCTCCGTTCCTTCTCCTGTCCTATCTCCATCCGCTCCGATACTCACCTCGGACCGAACACCACTCCTCTCGACACCCTCCTCCTACTCCTCCTCCCACTCCTCCGCTTCCTCCTCACAACACCTCCACCCTTCCGTCATTCTCCTACCCTTTGCCCGTCCACTCTGATACTCACCTTTCCTCTCCTCCACACCTTTCCTCTTTCCTCTTTCCTCTCTCTTCCCTCTGGCCCTCTTCCGCTGACCTCCTGCCAAGTTATGACCTTCCACCACTGTCCCATACCTTGTACTTGGACACCGCTCGTACCTTCGCTCCAAGTCTCCATCATAGTTCCTACCTTGGACTTTGACTCCACCTCAGCTTTAGTCCATTGCATTGGTGACCTCATACTATGTAAACACCATTGCCAATATTCCTCGGACTTTCAACCCCGCCTCCATAACCTCTGTAAGCTCCGCAACCTCCGAGCTCCATGGATCATCTTTGGCACTTTCACCGTTTGTAATGTATCTTTCATGTTTTCCCCTCATCCCTATTTGGACTGCTGCTTCTTCCCATTCTAGCCAGTTAGTCATCATCCCCACTTCCCCTCATCCTCCTTGTCATATCCATCCCCGGCCATCGACTTCCGGTCCCTCCAATCCCTCCCGTCTACCTCCGCTCCTTCCTCACTAAACCTCAGAGCTCCCGTATTCCGCAATCCTCTCGGTACCCCTCGATGGTCACCACCCCCTCCTTTCAATTTATTCCCTAAGTACGGAGCCCCGAAGACTTCCGGACAGCTCCGACGTCCGCTAGCGCACTCCCACCTCCGTTGGGCAATACACTCGCCTGCCCTGCAGAGCCCACCTTCGGGCCTATCCCTCCTTTCCGTTTCTGGGTTATCGCCTGCCTTTCCGCTAACCCCAAATGTTTAACCCCGTTAACTCCGCTCCGTTCGGCTCCACCATTTGCGGACCCGTCTTCGCTGTAACCATATATATATCCAACTTGTACCTAGGTTACACTCCAGTAATAAAATGGACTAGAGTTACCCCCCTTCAGTTCTGATTGCCAGTCAGTAAGTTAGGGCACGGACGTGTCACTAGGCACAGCGCTCTTGGCATAAGTCGCTGAGGCCAAAGCCCTCCGCCACGGAGACTCTCCCTCGTCTCGAATCTGGTCTCTGACACTCCTGCCCCTCTGGGCTTCGCCCTCCTTACCTCCTTTCGGATGTACCACAGGTTCTGCCCTATGACCTTCAGTACCGCTCCACTTCTGTCATCCCTTTGTTCCCATTGGAACCCCCTTTGTTTCCCTGTGCTTTCGCCCTCTCCATTATATATATCGGTGCTTGTACATACTCGTTTTAAGCCTTAGTCTAAAATTGACCTGAAATGCCCCCTAGAGACTTCCTGCTCGCCTACTAAATTAAGGACCGCTTCTAACAGATGCTAAGCTTGAAGTATTTTTCTTAATTTTCTATCTTGGCATTTGTTTATGTAGTCATGAAAATTCATAAAATTTGTTAAAATTCATTAAAATTCAAACTCTGCTATCCTTTCATTTCTACTTGTCATACAAGGGTTTTGTAATTTTCTGGCATATTACCATGATGTGGTTTCATAGAGTGACCATTATTTCTCCTACAATGGTGGGAATGGAAGTGAAGTGGATGAGTGGGATGGGCTTGGATGGCCTATAGCAATGTCTGTGGTAGTGGTGTGGTAATCCAGGGTCAGGATTCCCAGATGTGACACTAATTGTCATATCCATCTATGGCCATCGTCCTCCACTACCTCGATCCTTCCAGATTACCTCCACCCCTTTGTCACTAACCTTGGAGCCTCCATATTCTGCAATCACCTCCGACTCCCTCCATGGTCACCACCCTGTCAATTCAATATATTACCTACACCTCCCTAAGTATGGAACCCCAAAGGCCTACAGACAGCTCCAACGTCCACTAGTGCACTCCCACCCCCACTGGGCAATTCACTTGCTTGCCCTGCAAGCCTACCTTTGGGCCTATCCCTCCTTTCCATTTCTGGGTTATAGCCTGCCCCTCTGCTAACCCCATAACCTCACTTGTCAGTAATATTCAGTCAGCTAACATTTAACTCCATTAGCTCCACTCTGCTCCACTCCACCTCCACTCCACTCCACCCCGCCATTCATGGGCCTGCCCTCACTGTAATATATACATAACTTGTAGATAGGTTACACCCTAGTGATAAAATCTACTAGAGTTATTCCCCCTTTTTAGTTCTCACTGCCAGTAAGTAAATTAGGGCACAGATGTGTAACTTGGCACAGCACTCCTGGTCTGAGTCGCTGAGGCTCTGCCATGGAGACATATCCTTTGTCTAGCATCCAGTCTCTAACACTAATCTCCCTTACAGTATTGCTTGCAAAGGGAAACTGATTTATTTGACAGTGGAAACAGAATTATGAGACAAGGAGAAAAGAACAGGAGTTATCAAACAAAGAGAAAGTCGACCATCTGAAGAAGTGGAACAATCCTTACAGTTTGCGTCTACATTTTGCAGCAGGCAACTGTGTTTCCTGGTCCATGCTACCATCAACAGAGTGCTTCCTCTTCAACCTCTGCATTGCTGCCCTGCTGCTTCCTGTCTTCCCCTTCCTCTGGTCATTAGATATTGGCTGGCTGCCAGAAGCTGTGGAAGTAGAAATGGGTGTTAAGGATGAGGGGCAATGTGTAGCCTGGAATGAAGAATGGGCTTTGCCATATATGGGCTCCAGATCTTGAGGGCGAGTCTCACAATCTTGATAGAAGACACCTTTGTCAGAGAACATTGCAAATACCATCCTACCATCACCTTCCCAACCCCCAGCATCATGTTCAAAGGCAGCCCCTCTGATAAAGAAGAGGTCACTGGGATGAGAGGGAAAGGAATAACCCAGCTCAGGAAAATGAAGCTCTCCACCCTCATATTTGCCAAACACAGCAATGGCATCAAAGCAAGACCAACAAGATTCTTGATCCTTACATCAGCAAAAAATTGTTAGGCTCCTGAGTGCTCCAGAGTATCGAGAGCACTGGGAGAATCAGGAGGAGATTGGCCGGTCCAGGAACAGCCCATTTCCTCCGGAGTTGGCTAGGTACTCCAGGGCACTCCCAGGAGGACCTGGAGCATTGCTTTGTGCACAAACATATCCAGTAAATACAATTTAAATGCTTCAAAGTGTATAGGGGTGAGAAGCTTCTGGGAGCTCCTGGAGCATTTGAAAATGAAAAGGAAAAGAAAAAAGAGGGAAGATCCCCCATGAATACCTCCTACCACAAGACTAACACAACAAGACACTGCTTAACAAGATCAAACACTATACTATATATCAAGGACACTGAGACTCACCAATACACAATCAAAATTTATGGCCTGATATATGATTAATCTGGCAACTTAATCACTTTCGGGCTGGCAGAATATGGGGGAGGCGGAAATGGGGGAGAATGAGGGGGGGAGAATGAGGGGGAAATGAGGGGGAAATGAGGGGAGAATGAGGGGGAGAATGAGGGGGGGAATGAGGGGGGGAATGAGGAGGGGAATGAGGGGGGGATATAGAGGGAAATGAGGAAAATTTGAAAATAGGGACTTCTAAAAAGTTGAAAAAAATAATTAGGGAAAAAATTTAAAAAAAAATCAGGAACTGTAGTGCCTTTGAAGTGCTTTCAGGATATATAATTATTTGCAAAATCGAGGAAGAAATGATGGAGAAAAATGGAAAATACTTTTGGAGACCCGAGAAATAATGAGAACTGAATTGATGGGAAAGTCTGAAAATTGAATAGGGAAGTGAGGGGAAGCCTTGTAGCATTGTTATTTTCTGCTGTTCTAATTTTTCCTGATTCTTCTTGGTCTCACTCCCAGCTGCTACTGGATACTCCTGGATACTCCTGGAAGCTCCTGGGAGGGTCCAGGAGCAGCTAATGGAAAATACTTTTGGAGACCCAAGAACTGAATTGATGGGAAAGTCTGAAAATTGAATAGGAAAGTGAGGGGAAGCCTTGTAGCATTGTTATTTTCTGCTGTTCTGATTTTTCCCGATTCTTCTTGGTCTCATTCCCAGCTGCTCCTCAATACTCCAGGAAGCTCCTGAAAGCTCCTGGGAGGGTCCAGGAGCAGCTGGGAGTGAGACCAAGAACAATCAGGAAAAATCAGAACAGCAGAAAATAACAATGCTTACAAGGCTTCCCCTCACTTTCCTATTCAATTTTCAGACTTTCCCATCAATTCAGTTCTCATTATTTCTCGGGTCTCCAAAAGTATTTTCCAGTTTTCTCCATCATTTCTTCCTCAATTTTGCAAATAATTATATGTCCTGAAAGCACTTTAAAGGCACTATAGTTCCTGAATTTTTTTTGATTTTTCCCTAAATTTTTTTTTTCAACTTTTTAGAGACCAAAATTTTCCTCCCACTGCTCCTGGCACATTACATACTCCTCACCACTCCCAGCTGCTCCTGAACCCCCTCCCAGGAGAACACTATTGGCTCCAGGAGTGCCCAATCTGCTGTTTTGTCTCCCACATGCTCCAGCCACTCTTGATGCTCTGGAGCATAACAGACTTTTGCTGATGTATGGTACTGTGTGTCAGAGTTAAAATGCACAGCATGGCTGAAAAAATGGCTTTTGACACGGCTGAGGTACCCATCAGGGTCTCTGAAGTCCCTAACAGATTGCCAAATCTTCCTGCTTTGCTTGCAAAGATTTGGTGCTATTCTCTCCGAATAAAGATTGAGAATATGATAAAGGGGTTCACATTTGTCATGAAACTCCCTGACGGTTTTCAGAAATTTCTTTGAGTCCCTGCTCACAACTGGATGCAGATCCTACATACATTCATCAGCTATATGAGTGTGACACATGAGAAAGACTAACCTTCCTACCAAGGCCTTGCCAGTAAGCAAAGTGGGCTTGGCCACTTTTGAACAGTTTAGAAACATCTTCCTTGAAATTGGTGCGGTATTTTGAAGTGGGAAAGCCATATTGATGACTGAATTTAGCCCCCGCATCCGTAATTTTGTCCTGGATAAAGCAAGATGGAGGTAAAATTTAATATTGATCAACTTCAAACATACATGAATGAATTCAAATACTCCTGGGAGACGAATTGCCAGGAGTACTCCATTCCTGTCCTCTATAGCAGCTCCATGACGATTGTCCAGCAATATTTTCTCAATTGGGGGGGTGGGGAATTCAATATCCCTCATGTTGGTCTGTGTCCCTTGTTTGTTGGTAGCCTTATCGTTATGACTTGCCACATCTCTGTAGTCTATGTCAATGCGAACTGGAAATACTGTTGAGTCATTAGCAAAAAATGCAATAGAATGATGCTACCTGTATTTTTGAGTGCAGCAAATATGGCTGCCTCAACTTCCCTCTCAGCAAGGGTTATTGCTTCCCCCACCCAGGGATCTTTAACACCCCTTACCCTCTCTTGGTGGTCATTCAATGCAGTTTTCCTAAGATTTAGTTGAGTGAAGTCATCTGATATGCACGTTCCCGAGAGGCTTACATGTCTTTCACTCTAAAGGGTGGTGACACAATTCCGGTCTTTTGATAGTAGTTTCTCATCTTACGTGACCTCCCACGAGGTTGCTTGGGTGGGGGTGGTGGAATGGATTCCATTGAAGTGTGTGTGTATGGTGTGTAGAGTGTTGTGTGGCTGGTGTGTCTGCTTGCGCTTGCGTGTTCACAACAAATCCGGTCAGGTGATCTTATAGCGGAGTTGGACGAAAAACTGCTGTTGCAAGTACCAACTCAGACATACTAATATAACTGACAAGCACCACCTGAAGCAGCAATACCTGCCACTCAACCCACTCACAAGCCAACAGTGGCCATGAGAAGTCAATCAACTAAGATCCGCTATCTGTAGCAGGAATGTGCAGGAATTTCGCTCACTTGTTTAACCTTGCCTTTAAACAAAGGACAACAACGTGTAAGGTCCATTGTACCGCATAGAGACAAAGATATGGGTTTTATACAATTTGAAAAAAAAAGTGGGGAGCACGGAAGGGGGGGAAAGGTAAAAACGAGTGAAAGGGGATGGTCGATATACAAGACAACAAAAGGCATGCATGGTGATGGAGGCTGCGAGTTCACAATGAGAAGCTAGAGTGACTGACAACCAAAAACCCAAGGCCTACAACATCAAAAAAAGTCATTAGCCACAAAAATCGAGAGACATGACGAAAAACAAAACTTACCTGAAGCGCAAAGTCCATCCTCCAGTGTCTAGATTTGAAGACGGTGGGGAATAAGTACGAGAATATTAGGCAGAGGAGATGAACATACCAAGTCAGGGATTCATGAGTCAAGACATCCAGCATCGTCGACAACCAACCGATAAATTACATTACTGTGCCAAGAACGGGTCAAGACAAAGTCGAGGGAACAAACCGATTTTCTTTATCCCCGAAAGGGCTTCCATGAAGCGTAAAGCTCCAAACAGAAATGCATCCAAAGCAAGCAGTCACCCATGAAGAATTAGCTAATGGCACTAAGCCGGATATATCTGTAACACGGCATACCCAGGTGGTATAAACAGCGGAAGGATTCAGGGAGGTATGACAATGTGGGGACAGCGCAAGGATGTTAGTATGTGAACGTCGGCATGAGAGGCATGGCAAGATGCGGGTTGCGATAGGAATGCTGAAGTGGGAAAGTGGGGGTATCGACCTCTCTCTAGCTAGTAGTAAGCAAACGAGTAAGAGACAATACGTAACGCAGATCCAACAGCTAAAGGGTCGGCACTGTGGCGACGTGCGCAGCCACAGGTACAGTTGGAGCAGTGGACAGTATACTCTGTTGCCGAGCCTGCAGGATGTCATTGATCTGGAAAGCTGCGTATTGGATCCGTCATTAGCATCACATTTCTTACTCTCAGCTCGTGAAAACGCACCCACCTGTCAGTGGAAAAACGGTCTCGAGAAGGCGCATCTGTGAGATAATGATATCAATCTTGTGGTCCAATGCCGAAGCCTCTGATGCAGTCAGGACCCGAGACCGCTGCTCAATTAGGACATCGCAGGTGTGTTTCCAGCAATGCTAAATGAAGAATGAGCTTCGATCATTTCATCTTACGAAGTATGAACGTGGATCGTACCCCTATCAGCATGTCGAACTCCCCAAAGTCCGCCTCAGAGTTAGTTAACTCGCTCACAACTGAGACAACGGCCTCAGCAGCCTTCAAACGTTTATCGTAGCTGAGAGGCTCTTCAAGTGCCGCGGTATTATGTAATCGAATCATCGCCATCAACGCAAGCGTGTGGACGAATTGCGTGTTAACCGGATCATCGGCTGAGGTAGGTGGCACCTAGCCAACAGATGCACTCGAGGAGGACGATGCTGATGGGTTGATGTCAAACACCTCAAGCGAGGTGGAGGTGGAGGCGGAGTTGTATTGAAGAGGGAAGGATGAGGAGGCTGCTGACGGGGGTCGAGTGGAAACAACGTTATTGGATCGGGAGACACAGTCCTTGTGCCAAAACTAGGAATAGAGAGAGGATCAGAGCCAAACACGAAACCTTGCGGTTGTGGGAAGTCAACAGCAGGATCGCCGAACAGATGATTATTGTAAGAGTCGCGAGACGAATGGGGGGAAGATTGTAAGACAAGACTGTCGGTATGATTTGGAGTCATTCCAGAATCGGTTGAGGATATGGATCGAGCGTGGATGCGTTCGCGCCCAGGAGTTGACGAAGCGCCCAAACCCCCTGTACGAAAAAGTACAAGGCAAAGGGACAAACGTTCGCAGCGAATTGACTGGAAAACACGCGTTTGGAGCCAACGACATAGAAAGAGTCAAGGAAGACAGTGATGATGGAGGCGGAAGCCGACAGAAAGGGACTTTGAGGTTTGAGGCTGCGGTTTCGGTGAACTTGAGGCGGTCCAAATCGGTGTGGGGGTAGCGTTCCCTGACGAGATCGACGACGTAGTGGGCAGGAGTGCAAAACGTGACGTGGTTGGACATTCCCCTGGGCATGCCGGAATCCAAGATCGCGACCATCTTGCCTTTGGCGCCGAAGACGCATGCGCCAGTCGCGATGGTCAGAAAAGTTGCCGTGCTTTCTGGTAAAGTTGAGGACAGTGACATCCCACGAATCGTGCTCGAACTCGTCACACGTGTAAGCTTCCAACTCGGAGAAGCGACCAAAGTAAGATCGGTCGTCTGCCCATTCTTGGCCACGATGAAGCACGGGTTACCTTGCTCGTCCCAGAAGTAGGGGTTCGCCAGGCCTGCGGCGTCGACGTAACCCAAATTCTGAAGAGATGATCTTTTGGGTACTCGAAGGATGGTGGGTTGGTGGCATTGGGGTAGAAGAACGAGACAATCTCATCGCGGGTGGACTTTCCGGCTAACGATTCATGTCTGCATTGGACGAAAAAAGGAAGAGAGATACAAGCAGAACGCACCGAGCTAGACATAGTTGCCTTTGAAGTTCTTCAGGAACTTGTCCTCCTTAAGCGCGATGTCGAGATCGTTAGCAATTTTGGGTGCCCAATCGAGCCACCCGACGATTCGCTGGTAGACGTCACTCCATGTAGAGTCGATGAGCTTGAGAAAGTCGTCCAGGATACTAACGTCCACCTTCGCCCTCTTCAAATCCTCCTCTTTCCTCTCCAAGTCCAACTTGTCTTCCGCTGCCTCCTCGTCGTCAGATGCCGGTTTGGCCAACAGTGCCGCAAGCTGCTTGGCGAAGAGTTTGGCGCCACCGAGCTTCGTAGCAATCAGCGCGTGCGCCTCGTTGACCACCTGCTCGAAACGACGACGACTGCAGTTACGCATGTACTGACGAGGTGCACCGGGGCAGCGCTACACATCGACCTAACAATGGCTGCCGTTGCGCGTCTCATGGACAAACTCATGTCAGGACTCGGATACGGATCTAGTTACGTTGTTCAAGGTGGTGACATCGGCAGTTTTATGATGGCCGTCAGATATCATGGATGCAAAGGTACGCCAAGCTCAAAAAAAAACTTACCTTTGTTCACCAAGTTCCATTATTATTCCTCTCATTCAAACCCCGAGGATCACTATCACCCGACGATACCCTCATGTACGCCACGGTGTACAGATGGGACAGCCGCACTGCCACGTCATCACGAGGCCGCGGGGTATTAAGATAGACTTATCTTTATCATCATCATTACACCTTAACTTCAACCACCCCTCACGGAGGCGGAGCAAAAAGGATTACAACGGGCAAACAAGTCTTGTCAAGCGGGACCACTTATGCCACAATACAATCGACCAACCTGAGTACGATGGGAGCCGTGATGAGCTGCTCTCCAGGAGCGAGCTTGGCGTGGTAAGTCGAAGTTTGCCCAACTCATTTTCACGTCATGCCATAGCAAATGTAGTACCCTTATGCTTCCCTCCCCCTCCCCGCCACCATACAGGACAGGCAAGAAACTTTAGAACAAAACATGCACTTGACATGATTCTAACGACCCTTACACTGTACTGGTTCACTCAGACCTACGCAAGAAGCATTCACGCTTACCGGGAGGTACGAGCCTTTTCTTTTCTTTTTACCTTTTCCAACCTGCTATCTATCGACGAAGCTAAAAAAAGAAAATGATTCAATATAGTTATTTCCCGGTGGCGCATCGACGCCAACGCTCCCGACCGACGATCCGTCGCTTTACATCCATAAACCCTTCGGTTACAGTTATTTCCCACATGGTACGTAGGTTACGACTACTACATATCATTAATGCAGCCGCTAACAAATGAACCTGAAAATTGATCGACCATACAACTATGTAACTTTTTTCCGCGCTTTCTTTCTTTCTTTTTCTTTTCTTCTTTTTGTTCCCTCGTTTTTATAGAAGTAATTCCCGTTCCAGCATGTTGGGTCGCAACCACAGGAAAACTCAGTTTCGTTCGTTATCACGAAACGGTACGAAGAAATTCTCCTTTCGTTCTTTTCCCTTCCCCCCCCCTTCAACTGTACTGACATCAACGGGACAATCCATTTCTCTCTCACCATTTGATAGGGTGGCCACTTCGCGGCGCAACTCTCGCCAGCAGAATTCGCCAATGACCTCATTGAGTTTTTTGGACCCATGAAAAACACCCTCGCTACCGTTCCTCCATCTCCTGCCGCGTCCAACGCCAGTTTCGATAGAGATACGCATTTAATGACTGAACTTACAAAAAATGGAAGCGCAAGGTTGCTTGCTCCCTCGATTCGATTCGACTGTTCGAAATTTCCGGATAAATTCCCTTCTTTTTTTTTTTCCACACACATCATTTCTTTGGGGCATCGATGAACCTTGAGTCTCTTCTGTCTTCTGTTGTTCCGCTTTACAATCAACAATGAATCTAATAAGTTTCATCATTTCGACCATCCTATATATAACACAATCATCCTGTACATCGAGATATTCTCACAGGGTCTCCTCGGGAGATGGGACCCTGGAATAATCTGAATAAGCTCTTCCGATCCTTTGCTGCACTTCGGGAGCTACTGCCGCCGTCAGCATTGTCGCCGTTAGCATTGGGCCCCGCGCCTGGCTTCCTCCTTACATCCGCAAAGGACGCGGAGAAAAAGGCTCAGGATCTCAACTAAAATGAAAGTTAAAAACCCACTCACAGTGTCCCGCTGAGCGACAATACTAGACGGCGGCAGATTCTCTCCCTCCTGTGCCCAACCCCAAATGCACAACGGCGAATTTATATCCCACTTGTCCACGCTGTCAGAGGAACTAGGACTACACTCCGCAACCGAGCCTCCGTTACCAGCATCTTCATGTAGTCGAAGCGAGCTTTCAACTTCTCAAGAGATTTTTGCGTTTCTTCTTTCGCAAGCTTGAGGTGTTTCTGCCGATTCTTCGCAACGCGCTGGACATCCTTGGCATATCTCTTATCCCACAATGCCTGACCGGAGAGGTAACGCTTCGCGCCGGTCTCGTTCACTTTCCCGATCTTTTCGAAGGGATGTATGCAGCCAGCAACTTGGGAGGAGGGTTCCAGCTCTCGAAGCTCACCCTTCGTCGAGACCCGCTCCCGAATCATGTGGTCTTTGAATGGTGACACGTTGGGATCCTGTTATGAAGAAAACGCTCAACATTATGCGAACCAAAAAAGAAAATTAGTAGACTTGCATCTGTTTTGTAAACATTGGCATGGCCAGCATAACCAGGTCCAGACTTGGACTGGCGCGGCGCGAATATTGGCCCCACCTCCTCCCATTCTTCCGATTTTTCCGATGTTGGAGATGCGACTACCGGCCACCGTAGGGAGCTCCTAGATTTCATAGAAATGCGATGAAAGAGACTTTGAGAAGTTGGCGTGGTCAACACTGTACTCGTAGTCACGCCCCCGGAGGCAACGCAGCTGTTCGTAAGCGCCTTGTTGCCCTGCCGGTCCTTGCCCTCGTGGGAGTATACGCCGAGGGAGCCTTGCGCATCCTTGATTCAAGCCCTGGATGATGAAAGCGCGTGATGCCGAGTTTATTGAAACTAGCAATGGCAAGCAAGTTGGGGGTGCATGGATGATAGGAGAAGCCCAAGGGGGAGTAGAAAGAGAATCTAAGGCTGTTGCAGAATGTCAGAATGGCGATAAAGGTGTGAAAGCGGAAGAATACAGCAAGCGCACCAAAAATCACCCAATCGACCAAAAATTGCCAAAATCGACACCAGGGGCTCGCATGAAGCAGCCCCTCACCAAGAACTTCACTCCTCATTGATCAAATGGCTCAAATGCCAGCGCATTGTCCATTAACTCAGAATCGGCAATTTCCGGCCATGGGTTCTTAAAGCCGAAGGGCATCAAAAACCCTCTTTCCTTTGCCCAAGTATGACCCACGAACTTATTGGAATATCAATGTGCATGCGTACTGATATTTTCTTTATTGACGCGATATCAATTGAGGATATCGTATATACCTTTTTGTCTTGATGCACTCTTCATTGCCGGTTATAGCAGGCAGTCGCTATAAGCGATATTAGCGCTAGGTGTATAAAACACACTGTGCGCGGAAATTTTTCACACCCCCTCAGTTCTCTTGTTCGAGACTGAGGTGATATCCTTTTTCTTTTACTTTATTCCTTGTATGCGAGTTCTGACTGTATTTACAGACTGCGCGTATAGGTAAAGGAACAATAAACTTAGTTCTCTTGTTCGAGACTGAGACCGCGCGTATAGCTTCTTTACTTTAGAACTATGAGGGATGAAGTGGTAGGGTGGCCACCCAGCCTGCATCTCAATAATGGATGTCATTGTATATGACTGCCTGATTTGCCCATCATGATGGCAGGCACGCCGGCTGTCTGTCCCTCTGTGAGCGGCTACAAGGTATCCGGGTCAGAAAGGTGCCATGATGGGGATAGCTGGAGAGCAGTTTGAGGAGTTTCACAACTGACTAGCCTTTTTCTGGTCTGTCTTTCATGAAACCTTCTAGGCTTATGAATGAAGCTGCGACAAGGAGGAAAATTGTAAGTATCACAACACAGTAAGGCATGATTTCACTATGATCCTTTCCTCTCTCAGCTTGGTACTCAGAAACTGGATTCATGAAGCAGGCTTGACCATGTAAGGAGGAATTAAGAACTGTAAAGGTAAGTCTGTATGATCACTGTGGAGCTGCTTCTGCTTACATACTAGCTAGCTTCATAAAGTCCTCAGCCCCTATGCCACGGAGATGATTGGCAAGATGGCTCCAACCATGATGAAGGTAATGTGTGTCTCCCCTGATGGAGTGAGGGCTAACAGAGTGTTTCAGTGTTAACTTTATTCCATGTTCCTTTGCCCTGTGTTCTTCGTGATCTTCTCTTCTTCTCCTTTTTTTTGTGTTTTTGTTTTTGTTTCTTTTTTTGTTTATTTTATTTTATTTTTTTTTTTAATTTTTTTTAATTTTTTTTTTTTGTTTTTTTTTTTTTTTTTTTTTTTTTTTTTTGTTTTCAGTTTTTTGTTTTTGTTTTTGTTTTTGTTTTTTTTTGTTTTGTTTTTTTTTTGTTTTTTTTTTTTTTTTTCATTTTTTGTTTTTTGTTTTTCGAGATGAAGGCCCCTTGGACATCCCAGATGGATCATGTTGGATTTGGATTTGGATTTGAATCCCAAGGGTAAGGCTGGATGGAAGAGGTGTTTGAAGGGATCTGGAGGAAGGTTGGATTCTGTCTGGAGGGATTTAGCCAGCATGTATTGGTGTGAACAGTGTGGAGCCACTCAAACATGTCTAGCACCTTATGAAACACATTATGAAATTGTTCATGCCATATCTATATTGGAAACATAAAAATGGCATTGAAAATATCTAAAATCAGGATACAGTGGTTTGAAAAGTTTCAGGCCAATTGGCCCAGCTGTTGTGAGGCAGCCGTGCCCTTGTTAAGAGAATGGGGAGGAATTCTCCCTTCTTGACCTATTCTTAAAGTGGCATAATCCATGGGAGTGCTGGGAGGCATGTGAATGCCAAAACAGTCCCCACAGGGTGCAGCCAGGTTTCCCAGCTAGTGGCGAGCAGAAGCGGGAACCTGAGATCAGCTGATGGTAAGTTGCTATCCCATGATTAGTCTCATGAAATGGAGACATTAAACAACAATAAAATACCTTCACTTTGACAATGATTAGAATAGTATTTTACCATTAAGACTATGGCCCTTCACTGAGTTCCCATTACCATGCTAACGAGGATAAAAGACCTATTTTTTCGTAGTTTTCTACCATCTTAATGATGGTAAATGACAGTCACTTTATGATGGTTGTATTTGGTATTTTACCTCACAGGTCTGGTAATTTACGATGATTGTGGATGGTAAAATACATAATGGTTCATGGTTATTTGGGGCTATGAACATGGTAACAACAGTGAAAACGACATTGCATCTACCAGATTAGGGATGAGCGCAGAAGAAACTAAAAATAGTGGGCATACTCCGGGGCCAGACAACACCCTGCTGAGCGGATGCTCGGGCTCTCTCTTCATGGATGGTGGGTTGAGGTGACACAGTGGCTGGAGAGCAGGCAGATAAGAGGGTATCGCTTGGGGGTGTGATATGGGAGGTGCCTATCGCACAACTTTCCACTTGCAATGCTAAACTGGACAGGTGTTGAAGCATGTATATAGACGTGAAAAACAAACCAAGGCCTAACTACACGTGTCATAGCAGCCAGGCATGGATCCAATGCATATGGTGAGTGTATGGTGAGAGAGAAGAGGAAGTTCGGTAGGTCCGGGAATTTCCGTTCAGTTCGACTTTGACTTGAGATCATTTCTGACGAGTAAAGATGGCAATGAAATGCCACATAAGGTTGCATCCAATACTGGCTTATCTTTGTGAGGTGTTGTGAAAATGGCCTTCAAGGGTGGGATTGAGGCATGTACTGCCCACGGTACCGAGGGTGACGTATTAACGCCCCGTGCTCCGACTCCCCAATCAGACTTCCTGGTGGTCTTATCTTCTTTGTATGCCCTGATAAGCGCATGCTGATAGAATACATCTTGGGACTCAGTTTGTAGTGACAATGAGGTGAAAATATGATGATTTTATGCACCTGCACAAGTTACCGTGGTACATGTTGTAAAATACTTGCCATGAAAAGTCGGTTCCTTGACTTGCAATTTCGATTTGGTAAAATACTAGACTCCAAAAACCATCGAAATGATGGTAAATGGTCAATTACCAGAGTAATTGTGGTCATTTATGGAGAAATATTTCCCACAGTATGGACACAGCCCACGTTGCTTGCAAGAAAAGAAATACAACGGCCAAGGGCGAGCCGGTACAATAAGATGACAACGAGATAACAGTACCAGTCACAAAGGTGGAGTTGGGGAAGGTGGAGGGTAGGCAGAAGAGAGAGCAGTGCAAGTGAGGTTGGAACAAGAGCTGAGAGCAAGCAATCACGATAAAGAGAACAAGAGAGAAGATATGCTTACAGAGAACAGTAAGAAGGAAGTGGAAAAGCAATAACTATGCAATAACCAGAGGGGGTACTGGCAAGCGAGCGTGAGTTACAAGCCCTGCTGCGCTGGGGAAACATACCAGTAACTCCGAGCACAAGCGTGAAGGCAAGCGAGCAGGTGGGGGAAAGGAGCAAACCTCCCCCTTCCTCAGCAACTTAACCTCAGCCATGCTAGAGGCAAGTTAGGACCTGGGCAGTTGGTCACCCATCACGATCCATCAGCACTGCGGCAGTGCAGAATGAGACAGACTGCTCCAGGTCGCACGTGCCTATGGGGACCGGCAACATCACATTAACTTTGTAGTACCACGTGATCTAATCTGCACGCAGAAAGTGGCAAAAAATCTTTCCCCCCACCCATCATCTCAACAACACTTTTGACCATCAGAAAACATGTAGATAGTCTCTAATTTTCAATACCTCTTAGGTTCTGGCAGTTGGCATTCCTGATCTCATATCCTCTATCAGTGTTGTTATCTGCGACTGGACCATCCTCTTCAGGACCGATCAGCGTATCGATTGCACGTTTGATGGCTGCAACTAGGGCCACCTCTTTCTCTGCTTTCCTGGTGGTTCGGATCTTCAGGGGGATTCGTTTATCGAGCCGCCTACGAGCATCTAGTTGCTCATCCAATATCTTGCCAGTTACCTTCTTTCCCACAACACGCCCCATTTTTCCCACTCCAGATCATCCCATAGAACCACTGCACCTAGAATATCTTCCTTGCGCCTGGCTTTCTCCACCCTTTCAGCCTCCTTCCTCTGGTTCAGTGTGATTTTTTCCTGTTGTTTTGCCACAATAACCGCCCTTCGGGCCTTGGAAGGGAGTGTGCCACTCTCCCTTGCCTTTTGCATTATCGCAGCCTGCACCTCATTTGATAGCTTGGCATCTGCAAATGCTTCAGTGTTGTTCCGTCACACCATTTGGATGTCATTGAAAGTTTCCTCCGACATGTTCTCTGAACTGCGCTCCATGCCTTGCTTTCATTAGCATCCTTGCACTCTGCTTTCCATTATTGGAAGTCTTGTTAAAGCCCCAGGGATTTGACATTATTCTGTAGCATATGTAACATATCATTAATCCCTTTATGCCCTGTCAAAGCGAAATTATAATGCGGGAACTTCCGATGAATTGAAACAAGAACGTGCCAATGATGAGGACAAAACTCAAAATTTCAACACAAAAACCCTCTTCTGGCAGTATGAAAATCATCTTTAAATGATGCTGTCATGAGTGCATTCCAGGCAGTTTTTCGATTTTTGGCCCAGAATATGCCAAAACGTGGATTTTTACAGCCATATCTCCATATCCAGCAAGAAAGAAAAAAAACTGGCTGGAATGCGCTCTTCCTTAACATCACACAATGATTTTTTCTATATATCACTAAACCCAAAAGTTACAGTAGAGGGTGTTACATCCCCTAACATTTTACCCTTGCTTCGGGACTATGAATCTTTGCACGTGACTGTATCATGGCAACCCGCCGACCCCCACTATTGGAAATAGTGGAATTAAGCACGGGATTTGATTACATAAGTGGAATGTGGAACCAACTAGGGAAGCCACATGACCTACTTGGCCGATCTGTTTTGTCTTGCCTTGCTGGCAGCCATCCACATCTGAATGGGTAGCAATCAACTGATTGAGGGGCTTGGCGGACTCCGTCTGAATGGTCGCCTCCCTCCCAGTGATGAAGACGATGTATTCAAGCGTTTCCACCAACAACATCCTAACGCAGATACAACGAAGGCTCGTGTCTTGTTGGATCTCGGCTGTCTTATCAGAGAGTATTATCCCGACTACGATGAGCCGGACGTCGATGAGTTGAAACTACTTGCAGAGGACTACC